AGGCCTACTTGAACATGAAATGTGAGAGGAATTTAGGGAAGTAACAATTTTCAGGGAAGAACCATGCTTCAGTTACATTAAGGTAAATGGGGGCTGGCCGAGTGGTGCGTTGGTTAGGAGTTGGCTTGGGACGCCAGCTCTGAGCAGCAGAACCCTGGTTTGGATCCCACATGAGGGCCAGTGACGCTGCGCCCTCTACAGCTAAGATGGTGAACAGCAGCTCGACATGGAGCTGGGCTGCAGTGAGTCGCCGGTGACGGCGTAGGCTGCAGCGGGGCTGGCCAGCAGCAGCCATAAGCTTGCATGAGCTGTCGTGAACGGCCATCCAATGGCCAGCGGGTGACTGCCTCACCCAGGAAGAGGTTGTGAAGGATCTTCGGTAATAGTTGGAGTGTGAACTTTACATGGTCGTAAATGAAGAGAGTTATATGTTTTTGGAAATTCATCCTAATAATATCAGTTCTTCAGATGGATTAGAAAAGAGGAACGTCGGAGTAGCAGACAGGCTTGGTAAGGAGGCTGTTGGCAGTAGCCCAGATTCATGTTCAGGCAGACCTAATTCGTATTTCTGTGAACTTCTCAAGTGCTGTGTTCTGATTTTTTCCATCCTGGTTTTCCATCAGCAAGGTCAGTGACGAGCAGATCACAGGCACACTGGATATTTGATGGCTGAGAATGTTCATGCATCATCCATTTTCTTCTAGTTGACCTCTGTAGTCATGGAGTCCTGAATTCCTGTAGCATGTTGTGTAGAATCTTTCCCACCGATCATAAACACCGTTAGCCAGCCTGCCTACCTTACTCTCTTTTTATCTCCCTATGTTTAACTTGCTGCACAGGATGAATTATTATGTTATTACTATTACATGTATAATATAGTGTGTATCATTATTCTTTGTTATTCTTGTTTATTTTGCCTTTGTATGTGTTCTTTAAGACTGGCCCTTTGGTTTTCATTAAAATGGGAGTTTTGCGTAGCAATTGAAAGCACACACTCTGGAACTAGATTGCTTGAATTTGAATTACTTAGTGAACGTTGGGCAAATTACTTAACATCAATATATCTCAGTTTCCTTATCTGTACATTGGAGATTTGAAGATTAAATATATTCTATGTAAAGTACTGAAAACAGTGCTTGACACATAGTGTTGTATATGTTACGGAATTTTTAGCTATTATAGATTTGCGAAAAAGTTGAATAACATCCATTTTTATTTACTTGTGTTTGTTCTTTAAAGATCTGCCCATTTCTTGTCATTAGAATGGCTAATTTCTCAACCTTTCTTTATTTCCTCAAAATTATAGTAGCCTGTATGTATCTCTTGAGGCATACTGTCATGGTAATGAATTAAACCTTTAACAACTGTGTTCATTTTACGTTTTCTTTTGATAAATTGGATTCTAGTGTTGAGGGATATTAATTCACCTTGTTTGTTCATACCTGTTTTATGATTGCAAAAGATATGACAGACAGTGGGAAGGATCTCTTACAAAATTCCCTTTTTGGGATATTGATGTCTTTGTATTGCTGCGTGTCACATTATATGCAGAGATGTGTATTAATCGGCTGTCCTCTGTGATCTGTTGCTTTGATGTTTACTCACTTGCTGTGGCCCTTTTGACAAAAAACATAACCAGTTTCCTACACCTGAATTACGTTTACAACTATTTAAATAAATCACTTTTTTAAATGCTTGACACATTTCAAGTGTGAAAGAAAAACAGTTTATGTCCATGTTTAAAGTAAGTCTCTGTTAATACTATTTTTCAAGGAAAATATGTGTATTTTGAAATTTAAGTAGTTCTATGAAACTGCATTTATCATTGCAATGAATTTTCGTAAACCCCTTGTTTTAAGAATTACTGGTGATAGTGGATAGCAGAAATGAATTTTTATAACATGCAAGATTTCTTTCAATTCTCTTTTGAATTTAATTTCAGATGCAAGTTGTTTTAGTTAATTTGTTTATCTGTTATTTTGTTTTTGTTTCAGCCTAACTCGTCACTGTTTATTATTTTTGTTTGTGTTATCATATTTCATAATTAAAGCAGCTGAAATATTGTACTGTGAAATAAGAGATCATCCATTTTGGATTAGCACTGAAAAGTTGTCTAAATAGTTCATTTGAGCTATTTCATGATCTGCTGTAGAGTCTAATTGTGTTTGTATTTGGGAACAGATAAGATTAAATCTTTCCAAGATTGGGGCAAATAACTTAGTGTTTGGATGTACTTAAATCCTGAGTCTTAGTATGTGGAAGTATTTGAATTTTTTAAAAAGGCAGCTATTGGTCTTCCTTTCCCTTTTAATCAGAATTTACTGGAAATAATATTATTTATACTTTCTGGCCAGTATTTCTACTAAAATTTATTGTTATAAACTATAAAAAACCTTAGTACCTCAGAATATTAAAAAAGATTACACAGTACAGGTCATCGATATCCCAAATATATTAAGAACAAAACATAACCAGAATGTAAGAAAATAATAGCAAAACAAAACAAAAAGTTAATTTTTTTGTATGAGAATAAAGAATGAGCTAATGTAGCTAAATAACAGCCTTTGTTGAAAAAGAGAGAGCTTTCTTGTATAATGGGGTAGTGACAGAAGAAATAATATACTTACATCATCAAATCAATTCTTTTGAAAGTAGTATTTTTACTTATATGTCAGTTTTCTCCCTACAGTGTCTTTGAACTATTGTTTTGATAAGTTAGTGTTTAAATTTTTTATATATTAGGAACTAATAGTTTGGAAAGGGCCTGTAAACTTTTTTTTTTTTGATGATTTTTAACTGGTATTTTTATTATATAATAATAAATGAATAAATAGATGGATGGGTGGATAAAAAAGTTATGTGTGGACCAATAATGAGAGTATGACATGAAACAATGATTATTAATCCAGAATCCAGTTCTGTGCACTAGAGGGCATGTTAATTTTTACTGGAACAACATTGGAATACTGTTAATTTATTAGCCACATAGTTTGTCAGTGGAAGAAAAGTATGAGTATGTAGGAATAATACAGTTGGTTCTCCCATGAAGTCTCTGCCATGCCACAACCTCCTAAGTTAAGAATAGGTATTCAGTTCCCAATAACTCTGTCCTCTGCTAGACACAGGGACATTTTTCCTTCAGTGGCATGAGGCTGTGGGTATAGACTGAGTCCAGATAGCTGAATAGTTGGCATCAATATAGTTACGTTGCATTAGAATCCACAGGGCAGATAGCAGTAGCTGAGATAGCAGTTCCGTTGAGGTTGTTGTACAAGTAAATCTATTGCATTTCTACAGTCATATTTTCTTAGAGGGACATTTGCTGAATTGTGCTATAGTCAATGACATTAATGAAATTCCTTTCAAATTTTTATGAAATTAAGAAAGGATTTAAAACCATAATGAAAAGTGAGAATCTGTGTGTTTTTATGAGGAGCATTTTTAATGTGTACTTATTTTCTTTGTGCATCAGTTCAGCAAGCTTCTTACTAAATTATTAACTAATCATTAACTTTTCTGTAAAAGGATATCATAGGTAATCCATAAAGAAAGGTATGTCAGTTAGGTATTTGTATGCCTTAAATGAATGCCTGATGTATGTAGAGTACTATTAGCATATCATCATAGCCACTTATAAGTTGGCTAACTTTGGGAAAATTACTTCACCTGTAATCCTGTTTTCTCATGTGTAAAATATGGATAAAAATAATACCTGTCTCATAAGGTTATTATGAAAATTAAACGATTTGATACTTGCAGTGGTTATAGTTAGTGAGTGGTCAGTGAATGTTAGCTATTGTTGTGTAATTAATAGTAGATCAGTGAGAATTCTAATGTATTCTCTAGCCTTATGGCTAAGCTTCTAGAGAGAATGCTTAACTCATTGATAAATAATGTATGTGATGATGCATTTCACTCTTAATTCCTTTAGATCACTAAGGTTTCTTGCTGGTTATATATTAATAACAACTTTGTTGAAGCTACAAGTTAAATTCTATGAAGGTGAATAAGGGCTTGTGCCTTGGTTTGAAGTAGCTCATTTTAGAATTTGTAAATATAAAATGTCAATATGAGAGGGGTAAATTTCTACATAACTCTAAAAGAAGGGAGATTTTTAGTTTCTCCCTTATTTGTGGTAATAGGAATATGTATTGCGGGTTCATAAGTCAGAGATCATATTTGATTGGGGTTAGAAATGGAGTTGGGGAGACGTAGTGATAATTTGATGATTCCATTTTTGTATGTATTTTACCCCCTTAGTCCAGCGGTTCTCAACCCCTTAATACAGTTCCTCATGTTGTGGTGACCCCCAACCATAAAATTATTTTCGTTGCTACTCTATAACTAGTTTTGCTACTGTTATGAATCGTAATGTAAATATCTTTTTGTTTTCCGATGGTCTCAGGCGATGCCTGTGAAAGGGTCATTTGACACCAAAAGGGGTCGCAACCCACAGGTTGAGAACCGCTGTCTTAGTCACACTCCCTTAATTGCTTCAGTAATTCCACATGTATACTAATTTATTTTTTTAAATGACATTAAATACTGTGAAATTCTATCATCTTCACAAAATGGTAGGAAGGGGACTAGCTAGAATTTATGAAAAGATTAATTGGTAATTCTCTTGGCATATTTTTAATACTGCAAACCATTAAGTCTTTCATCACTACTTTTACAGTATAACTTGTTAACCTTGACTGTTGGGTAATTTGTGATACGGTTACTAAAGCTGAATTGAAAAACATATCAGGTTTCTAGGAACAAAAGAACCACCTATGAGCAGAATTGGGTAGCTACCACTTGTAATTGGTTGTGTCTTGATAATGACTTAATCTGAATATAGGGCTTAGTACAATTTGAGTGCTTTTCAAGTAGATCTCTTATTCTCGCAGACAGAATCACTTTAGAAACAGAAAAAAAACAAATTATGAAATGTCCTTATAAATGCCACAAGGATTGGTTAAGAATCCAACTAACCAAGTGTATACTTTTTTCCTTAGTATTGAATTTGACCGGGATTGTGACTATTTTGCAATTGCTGGGGTTACAAAGAAGATTAAAGTCTATGAATATGGAACAGTCATTCAGGATGCGGTGGATATTCATTACCCTGAAAATGAAATGACCTGCAATTCCAAAATCAGGTGCTTATACTATTTTTGTGGCATGTGCAGTGTGTATATAATAATTAGTAACGATAATTACTGTCAGTTTGTTATTTTACCTTTCTATGAGACTCCTTACTCATTCATGGTGAGCACTATATTTACCTACAGTGCAGAGTATCTTTCTCATAGATATTAGTTGCTTTTCCCTTATGGGGGTTAGTAGTTATTGTTTTCCAGTTTGCCAAATGAAAGTTATTTCTCTTTCACTTCATCAAGTAAAGGTCTTTGTTGTAAATCGCCTTTCATGAGGATTGAATAAAGGAGTACTGTGGCCTATGAATAGTGTCTGAAAGGCAGGAATTTTTCCTGTGGCATTCACATGTCTCTAAATATTATACTTGTTTATAATTTTAAGAATTCTTTTCACAAAAACATTCTTTTTCTTTACATTGAAGGCATTAATAGTGTTTCACGTACTAGGGGTTAGAGTTCATAATGAGTGCAATAAACTGCATTTTTTAGAGTATTTAGACCTGGATTACTGTTAAAAATGCAGGAACTGGGCCCTATTTCTAATCTGCACCCCCAAAATCTTAGAGGAATCCTAAATCTGCATTTTTTTAGAATAAGCTTCGTAAGCTGATCTCATGGGCACTGGCTTAAAGGGGAACGATATAAAAAAATCATGTAATAATAAATTTATATAGAACTTTGAACAGTTCCGTCATTATTGTATCTTTTTTATCTGAATGAATGACATATATAGTATGTATATATACTCATTTTAATGATGTTAATATAATGCTATTGCAGTCTTTGTATAATTGGTTGTTACAACTTTCCTTTTTGTTTTCTAATTCATTCATTAAAATGGTAGACTGATCATTTATGAGCCTGCTCATTCATGAGTGGCGCTCATCATTAAGAATTTGTTATAGTTTTTGTCCTAAGGGGAAACAATACAACATGGGTAAGATATAACTTGTTTGAATTCTTATGTTTCAGCATTGTACTCAGTGCTTTGTCTTAAGCAGACTTATGCGGTGGTTACCTTTGTTGCCCTGTTTTATACACAGGGAGGCTGAAGCACTGGAAAGTTAACTAACTTGCTTAAGATTACACAGCTAGTCTCTGGTGGAGCCAGGATTCAAACAAAGGTAGTTTAGTTCACAGGTCTGTGCTCTTAACCATTTCGTGCTGCTCATTTATAAAATGGAGGCCATCAGAGTAAAACCTGTTTCATAAATTGTGCTTTAGATAAATCCACATAATGCATTCAGCAAAATACTTGGCCCTTATCAAGAATTCATAGTAAATGTTACTGTAATGGAAATGTGGATTAGAGAGTTTATTCTTTCTGTCTTGACACATGTCAAATTGTGGCAGTACTTTATGGCACTTTGGAGTAAATGGAGGAAGCTCTTCAAGGCAGGAAGTTACGGGCTTGGGACTGAAAGGATCAATATGTAAGCATGCCTGAAACCAGTTTGGAGCACACCAATAGTGAAAGTGAAGTAAATTATCCAGAGCCACAGCCACTCAGAGGCAGATCTAGAATTTGAGCTCAGGTCCATCTAAACTCATAATTTAGCTCTTAACTGTTCCATGTAATTTTCCCCAGAAATTCTAGTAAGTACAGTTAAACATGCAAATGAATTCTTCCAATCTCTGAATTCAGCATGAATGCATCTAGTAGGGAGCAAAAATTTTATGTTCGTATGCTTGGAAGTCATCTAGGTTAATTGCTTTCAAAGTGGCTTCTTCCTTCATATACATTAGCTTTCTATATGCATGATTTACATATGTGTCTCACCAACAGCATACATTTGTAGATGTTGCATTCTCAATTTTGGAGCACTTGAAAATAGTGGAGATCATAAATGCTAAAAGTTTAATTCTCATTGTTAAATGCTTTTAATTGGAATTTCAGTCATAAGCTTCTATTAAGATTTTTTTAGATGTAAACTGAAACCCAGTTTAAATTACTTTATTGGCTTGTATGATTTGGCACAACTGGAAGCAGGGGCCTAAACAGTCTGATTAGGTCTCTGTCATTCTGGCATGGCATGCTTTGTTCCCCCTAGGCCTCTGCTGTCTTCACCCTTAGGCATACTCTCTTCATGTGGTGCTTTGACTCATATCCATCATTCAGCTAGTGATCAGAGCAAAAAGTGGTCAGGGTCATTACTTGTAGAAGTAATCTGGGGATTATTTGATATGTTTCTTTCAAGATTGTATTGTGAGCAGAATAATAATTGTGAACTTACGTAGAACATTTTTAAAGGGTTCTAATATTTCTGAACACATCAAAATCCTTTCTATCCATTGTTGTTTATTTTTACATAAAGTAATACTTAACTGTATTTCTTTCAGCTGTATCAGTTGGAGTAGTTATCATAAGAACCTGTTAGCCAGCAGTGACTATGAAGGCACTGTCATCTTATGGGATGGGTTCACAGGACAGAGGTCAAAGGTCTATCAGGTAAGTAAAGATACTGGTTATTTGTTTTAAGAATCACATTTTTATTTTCTTAATAATTGTAGAGCTTCATAGGCTTTATAAGTACAGTATAAATTTAAAGACACTATTTAGCATTTTTTATACCTAAGTAATACCAAATAATGCTTTCTAAAGCATCTCCTCCAACTTTTGCATTGTAGACTGTATCAAATGATTTTCTAAAAGCTGTAATTTTAGTAAATGTATATATGAAAAGTTTGTGAATTACTTTGCATCTCTTTTGTTTGCATAGCCTGTTCTCCCTCTCACCATAGCAATAAATTGATATTGAGGTATTTTTTTGTTTGTTTTTTGGGGTTTTTTTGGTTGGTTTGCTTGTTTTTGCTTTATTTTAATTTAAGATATGTATTCTGTCTGAGGCTACTTTGTCTTCCTTCTGTATCCAGGAGCATGAGAAGAGGTGTTGGAGCGTTGATTTTAATTTGATGGATCCTAAACTCTTGGCTTCGGGTTCTGATGATGCAAAAGGTACTATATGAATCTCTTCTCTTTTCCCACCCTTCCCCCCCCCTTCATTTCTTTTAGTGTGAAAGATACAGATAGTTGTTGAAACTCATAGCAGTCCTTTGTGATTACTGATTTTTCCAAAAAATAACCTAAGCACAAAAATCTATATCTCTTTTGGGATGAAAGAAAAATGAATATACTGCATCTTCATTATAATAATGTTTTCTGGATTCATGCCACAGGGTGACATTTGTATAACCAATTCCTTTATATATACCATTTAATGAACTTTTTTTGCTGAAACATTTCAACATCTCTGCATTCTGAATTATATTAAATTTCAGTGTGTACTAAAATCTTTTAATAAAGTTAATCATGTTTCAAGGCAAAAATTTTAGATCTCTTTCTGCCAATTTAATTGACTTCTTCTGTCTTCTGTTTTTTTCTTGTAAATTTATCTTCACTATTCATTCTTTCTGTTATCCTTACTGTCCTGTTTGGCCTGGTTCTTCTCACCATTGATTTATAAAGTCGTAGTAACAGATTTTTTTATCTTAGAGTTAGTAGCCTTAATTTCTTTATTCTTTCTTTCTTTTCTGCATGTAACTTCCAGAAGTGGTAGTTTTTGGAACCATTTTTACTTTTTTTCATTCCTATTTACAGATTATGGTACTAGTGTTCCTAAAAAGATTCTAAAGTTTTACTATGCCTCCGTCCCTAATACTGGTTTTCAACCCCAAATGCACGTTAGAGTCACCCAGAGAGCTTTTAAAAACATCAATACTTGGACCTATCTCATCTGGGTATTGCTCTAATGGGACATTGGGACTGATCGAAAGATGGATAGGAAGATTTTTATTGTTGTTTTTGTAAATGTTTGTTATAAATTCTGTTATGTAACCTATATCCTAAAAATATATTGTATATGTGTATGCTAGTGCCTACTTAGACATTTTGTTTAAAAATGACATGATGGTTACTCTGGTACCTTACAACAACAGCTCACTTTTCTACTTCTGTTTTCAGATCTGACCTGCCCTGATCAGTCAGCTTTCTGTTCCCTAATCATTATAAATCTCAGTATATATCACTGAAATGGACTTAGTTATGGGCCTCAGTTATGAGATCATGTTACCTCTCATTATACATTGAATATCTGTGTTGTTTTCTGACTTTGAAAGTAAGCTCCCTTGGTTTCAATACACTGTTCTATTAGTTGGTCAGTTTAAACATTTTGGTCTTAGGAAATCAAAATGTTTTTAAATTAGCACAAAAACACAGCTGTAGCAATAAGCAGACTTCCTAGGTGACAGAAGTATTTGCTAATATATTGTTTATTTCTTTTCTTTTTTACTGTTCTTTACTCTTAGTGAAGCTGTGGTCCACCAATCTAGACAACTCAGTAGCAAGCATTGAGGCGAAGGCTAATGTGTGTTGTGTTAAATTCAGCCCCTCTTCTAGATACCATTTGGCTTTCGGCTGTGCAGGTAAGAAATGAAAGCACGTTTGTCTTCTTTTAATATTGGTTGAGTATCATGTCTAGGATAGAAGAACACTTTAAAACAAATGACTTTAAATTTTGTTTTCATTTGTTTAAATTTCATAGACTCTAAATTAGAATTTTTCAATATGCCATCATTACTCATTTGTTGCTGTGCCTTCATTTCAGTATTTTGTCACCAATGTTTAATACATAGAGATGGGTTTATTGATTACTTTTGTCATTCCTCTAAGTCTTTTTGCATGCACGAACTAATGCTTACTTATTCACATACTTAGGTCATAATGATGTTTAAATAATTAAGCTATATTGTGCAGCCATAGGAATCCTTTTTTTTTTTTATTAAAGGAAACCAAAGAATTCCTTCAACAATTATTGAATTACTTACTATGCACAAATTACCCATCTATGGACAGTGAATAAGACACAGAAAGTCTTATATCATGGAGTGCATGCTACCATTGTATGTACTCAAAAAAATGTTAGCTATTGTTATAATAGCAAATAATTTTTTGCTGAAGTATTTTTCTTAAATAGGGTGACAAAACGTCTGGGTTTGCCCTGGGGCAGTCCAAGTTTATACATGTTGTACCGTCATAATTACTGTTAGTGCCTTCTTTCATTCTCAGAAGCATTATGGGGTTGGCAGATAAATCATAGGGGTCACACTACTCTTAATTAATTCCGTTTCTTTACGTCCTATTAGTCTATTTAGATTTCCTGTTTTTTCTTCAAGTCAGTTTTGATAGTTATTATCTTTCTACAAATTTGTAAATTTAATTTTTCTAATTTGTTGGCATAAAGTTGTTCATAACAATCTCTTGTAATCCTTTTAATTTCTATAATGTCAGTTAATAATGTCCCTTCTTTTATTTCTGACTGGTCATTTGTGTCTTCTCTCTTTTTTCTTCTTGATCAGTCTAGCTAACTATCTCAGTTTCTTCAAGATGTATTTGTGTGTGTAGGTGTGTGTGTGGGGGGGAGGTGCTTCGGGCCAGAACACCACATACACATATTCCCACTGTTCTTAATGTTCTATCCAAGCTTAACTTATTGGAACAGTAGGCTGAACCACCTCGAGTGACTCTTAGCTCACCATGAGTATAGATAGGCCAAGAGAGCTGTTATTCCTTTCTCAGCCATTGGGACTATTGAGAGCAAGATCTGTTGAGATCAAGAGCATGATACCATTGCTATAATCAAGGGCTCAGAGATCTTTCACTGTCACTGCCGCAAAGCCAGAGACTGGACCCCGGAACACTACATCAGAGAACTTCTACATCTTGACAATGATGCTTGCAACAGAAGTATCTGAAGGAGAATAACCACAAAATTTCTACCTTTCAAATCTTACATAAGTGCATCTCATTAGTGGAATCTAATTCACATCTAGAAGCATAACTACAAGGATATCTGGACAATAGAATTTAACTTTTCATCTTCATAGGCTCTAAATACTATAAGGTAGTGGGAATGGATGCTGACTGTCAAGTGGCCCTGTTCAGCACACTGAGGTTGGATATGAGTTAGGGATTTATTTTTTGGCTTTGTAAAAGGGGTTAGCATCAGAGCAAGACACTAATGAAGCCAGTAGTCCTCACTTTATTCACTGCCTTTAATTATTCCTTTTACGACTGAAACATGCCTTTAATCATAAGAAAAACCTTTGCTTCTAGAAACAATTACTAATGTTGAATCATCTTTGTTTAGAATTGAAACATTCTTAGAATGTAGACTATTATCTAAATGTTCCTCTTTAAGCTGTGAAACATCATTCTTTAGCTGTGCCATTTATTTTACACTGAGAGCAGTACAGCTGTATTCATGAGGTTGCTTATTAAATATCATTTGTAATGGTGAATTTGTCATTAGGAATGGCCTGCACATTTTTAAACATTGCTTTTGGAGTTATGAGAAATAGATAAGCAATATGTGAGCTACCCACCAATTCCAGTTTGACTTCCTGTTTGTTGCAAGGGCACCGTGGAGCCTACTTAGGTGTGATGCATCATGCTAATTCTAAGCTTACCTGCCTGCCTTCATTTAGATCTTCTATTCCCTTTTCATACAGTGAGCTCATTTCTCTCTTTGTGCTTTGACTTCATTATTTTCCTCTTTCACCTTGTACCATAATATAAAATGATGTCTAATTGGGTGGATTTTTTTTTTTTTTTTTTTTTTTTTTTTGCCATACAGAGCATGAAAAGTTTCTGGAGGTGGACTAAAAATTCACAGCCATTTCTGTTAAAATATCAAATCCTAAGTCATGGTCCCCTTGAAAAATAATAGACTAGGAGTTTTAAACTTTTTGTGGTTAATACTAAGAAAAAGGCTTTAAATTTTGTTTTTAAACCATTTAAAATCTATTCTTGAGCCCGAGATTATCTGAAGCATGCTTTTTTTTTTTTTAAGATTTTTATTGAGGAATTGGGGGATGGGAACAGTGCTCGGGAATTGGGGGAAGGGGAACAGACAAGTTGCTGTCATTTTTGTTCTTCAGTCTAGTTGTGGAGAACGTTGCTTCACTGGCCCAAGTTGGCACCATCATTGCGCTCTTCCCGGGCGAGGCAGATCAGTCGCCGGCTTCTGGACGGCTGCTCACAGGGGCTGCTGGCCGCTCACGCTGGCTGCTGGCTACACACGGTAGCCCATGGCAACCCACTGCAGCAGGGGTTGCAGCCTACGCTGTTGCCTGAGACTCACAGCAGCCCAGCTCCAGGTTGAGCTGTTGTTCAGCATCTTAGCTGTAGAGGGCAGTGTCACTGGCCCTCAGATGTGGGATCCAAACCGGGGCCCTCTGGCACCCCAAGCCAGCTTTTAACCAACACGCCACTCGGCCGGCCCTGAAGCATGCTTTTAACAGAAGATAAAATTAAAATAAAGGAAAAGGTGCTTATTAGTCACCTGTTACTTGCTTAACTAGGATGTATTCATATTGCATACAAAAAGGTAGAAAACCAATTTTTCTCCAATTTATCATCTCTAAAGCCAATTTGGGAGAGCATTGAAAGACTAAAGTAAGTAAAATTCCTAGCAATCTGTGGTTTTAATAAAATATTAGAGTTGCTTGCAAGCGAACTTGAAGCAATTTTTAAAATAGTAATTAATGTAACAGATAGGAAATATAGGTATGCAGAAGGTGTTGTCTTTAAAATTATAATAGATCCTTCCCACCGGAAATTAGTGTTATAAATCAAAGGTAAAATTAGAATTATTCTGATTCAGGAGTGACATTTATGCTGATAATATATTCACTGGGGAGGAATAATGTTCCTAGAACAAGCAAACAGTGATTCTGAAATATTCTCTTTAACTGTATTATCAATAAACATTTTTATTTGTGGTTCCTGTAAACTCTCAGTAAACTAATCAGTGCACTCACAAAAACACCACCATTTACTTTCTCATTTTCAACACTTTCTATTTTTTGTGATGTGGCATATGATAACTCTTAGTCTTCAAAGGGAAAAAAATAACCTTTAGGAGGGGGTTTGTTGATTAATTTATATTTAAATATCAGTATTACTTCCCTTACCCTACAACTTTCAGTGACTTCTCATTGCCTAAAGAATATAGATTTATTTTAGGCCCTCCAGGATCAGCTTCCATATTCCTTGTATGTGACTGACGTTCACTCTTTGAAAATTGTCACTCAAAATAATTTTTATAAAGCTTCTTCCATGAAGATTTCTCGATTCTCAGTAAAGCTATCTGAGGCTATCTTACATATGCATCTTTCAGTTTTAGAAATTTATGTACATTTAAAATTGGTTATACTTGATTATATAAATAATACAAGGTTATATCCTCATTCTCAACTTTCATATGTTACAGATAAAGGTTAAGTTCCCCTTGATAAACATTACTAAACTTCTTCCCCAGAGGTTACCACAGTTAATAGTTTTACAGGTGTCTTTCCATAGATAGCATTGCTTGAGGAAGAGGCCAGTAAGTATTTTTTTATTTATTTAGAACAATATATATATTTTAAATCAGGGTGAATTCTAAAAGATGAACATCTACACTATATAAAACACACACAAATTTATAGTATCTTTAGATCTCTGAAGTCAGTTTATAGACTGCCTTCTACTTGCCCATCACTGTTACCAAGATATAATTAAGTCCTTTCAACTTAAGATCCTGGTATTTAGTTTAAGGAGCTATAAAATCTAATTCAATTCATGTTATAGAGCTAACACAGAGAAACTTGAGTGAGGTAGATATGTAAGCGCTTGGGGTGTCTTTTACTACTTTTTCCCATCTTATTTAAGTAATGGGAAACATTTTAGGTTTGTTAGGTTTATAAATCTGTTCTGTCTTTTATACAGCAATTGCCAGTGGGGATGATGTCTTTTCCTTCACATTTAAATAAATTGAATATCTGAATATGTATTTAATAAATCTTGATTAATGCCGTAGCATTCATGAACATGTGTTTTAGTTATCTATACTACATGGATAATAGGGGAAAAATGACTATCAAGGACATTTTATTTTCAAGTTCCCAAGTAATTTGAGTGAACTAAAATGGAAGTGGCGTGTATAAAGCCAATATTCAAGAAACAAATTATTCTATTACTTTGTCATAAATAAAATCTACTTCTGAGAGTGCTAGAATCTAAAAACAACTTTGAAGTACCTAGTAAATCTCTCATCTGTTTTTGTCTGTCTTACCTTCCAACCTGTAAGTAGCACTCTAGCTAGATCTCTTAAAAAAATGGGCCTCACAAGAAATTTTATATTTATATTAAATGCAGAGATATTTTAAAGTCACGCATCTTTTATTCAGCTGTTGCTAATATAACACACATGATAATCATTCATTTTTGGAAACTAATATTGAGTAATCACTATAAACATTTGGAAAGTATGAAATACATGGTACAGTTTTGAGGGAAACCATTAAAATAATAGAACCAAAGTACAGAATCCAAACTATTATCTGGATGAGGAGGGAGGAGTAAAATGCTTGACTAATCCAAAAGAAAGCAAGAAAGGAAAGGGGGAAAGAAAGCATTGAAAACTTGGAATAATTAAAAAATAAAATAAGCTCATAGATAGAAATTCAACTATGTCTAATTATAGTAAATGGAAATGACTTAATGGGTCCAAATAAAAAGCAAGGATTAACAGACTAGTTAAAACAAGGATAGGGAAAGGGAAATGAAAACAGTTTTATTTTGGCACAGGAGTAGAGAGATAGACGGGTGGAACAGAAGCAGAAACAGGCTCACAAATGTATGGATAATTTGACACCTGGCAAAGATTGTATTGCATAGGAGTTTGGAAAATATGGAATTTTCATACTCGGACAGTTGGTATCGGAAAATGGCATTATAATTCTGCCATATGCAATACACAAAATCATTTCCAGGTGATCAAATGTGAACAGCGAAACTATTTAGAAGATAATATTGGGTTGTCGGAAAAGTCATGACACGTTTTTGCAACGAAAAACATAGAAAAAATACATCATGACTTTTCCGACAACCCAGTATAAGGGAGAACATCTTCATGGTCCTGTGGCGAGGAAGGCTTTAAGATATAAAAACTAGAAACCATAAATGAAAGGTATCAAATTCGGCTATAATAAAATTTAAGACTTTTGTTCATCAAATGATACCTGAAAGAAATAATTTTTAAAAAGTCATTAATTGGGGAAGGTGTTTAGAACACATAGATGGCTAAGTATTAGCATACAGAATACATAGAGAACTCTTTCAAATAAGAAAACGATAAATATACTCTACATCCTTGCTGCTCAAAGTGTAGCCTGCCCAGTGGAACACACTGAGAGCCCAGAAATAAACCCAGAAGCCTCATGTATTGCTGGTAGAAATGTAATATGATGCAGTCAACAGTTTGTCAGTTTCTTCAAAAGTTAAATACAAAATTATCATATGACAGAGTAATTACACTTCTATAGGTATCTACCCAAGACCTGAATACATGTCCACACAAAGACTTGAATATGATTGTTCATAGCAGCATTACTCATGGTACCAAAAAAAAAAGGAAAGAAATATTCATCAACTGATACATGGATAGACAAAATGCCGTCTATCCATACAATGGATACTATTCAGCAATAAAAAGGAATGAACTGCTGACACATGTTAAAACATGGATAAACTTCAAAAACGTTATGCAAAGTGTAAGAAGCCATACATAGAAACTACATATTGTAATGATTCCGTTTATATAAGTTGTCCAGAAAAGGCAAATTGATTGAGAGAGCAAGCGAGCGAGCGAGCGCGCACGCAGGGGTGATGAACGGGCATGAGGGATCTTATTGGATGAGCAAAATGTTCTGTAGCAAATTTATGGTGATGGTTGCACTGGATAAATTTAATAAAAATCATTGAATTTTATACTTAGAGTTTTTATTATTTGTCTTTCAAGTACAGTGTCTCTTAAGCAAATGTTCTTCAAAAAGCAAATGTGGGAAGTAAAATCATATAGCAGTATGTTTAGCCAGAAGTCCAAAATATTTATATTACCTTTTTTATAAAGCCATCAAAATGTAAGGATTCATTTTTAAATTTCCAATTACTTTGAACCCTAATACCCTGTTTCTAGAGCCAGGATCACAACAAATGTCAGTGGAACTCCCTTTCACACTGACATTGGCATGTGTGTATGTATACACTTTTTAATACAACCATGTTTTCCTAGGTTCAAAAAAGAAAACACACTATATCTTCCTTATCTTTGAAAATGAGTCATACCCCTTAGTTTTCTGGCTGTTATAGGTTTGACATTGTGAAATATTTGATGAAAAACACCAGAATCAGTTAAAATGATCTTAGCTTTCTGTTCCTTCATTTATTCATTTTTCTCTTTTTGTTTTTTCTTAGATCACTGTGTCCACTACTATGATCTTCGTAACACTAAACAGCCAATCATGGTGTTCAAAGGACACCGAAAAGCAGTTTCTTATGCAAAGTTTGTGAGTGGTGAGGAAATTGTCTCTGCGTGAGTATTACTTTTCAGAGGTTCAACTTAACACAGAGCTCTGTCATTTACTAGTTTGTAATGTCACCGTGGGTATATATAAAGAGTAATAACCCTGTGGTATATGCACTTTTTCTTAAATAGTAGATTTTTATAAATTGTCAAATTAAAATACACATGTATTTTGATCTGTATTGCTCACTTTTACATGTTACTTGTGAATAAAATCCTAATGATACTAGTTTTTAATGTCACCCCCTTAAATATTTGAACTTCGGATTAGATTTCAGCCACTACATCTCCTTGAAAAGAGAGAAACAACATAGTTGATGGAATAGGAGAAGTATTTTATTTAATGTCAACTGTTACTCTATATCTACATTGCAGTACAATAGTATTATTTTTGGTTTTGAGTAATATTTGATTGACTTTTATGATTCCATGTTACTTGATTTCCCTATGATTTCATGGTGAGTTTTAAATATGTTTTGAAAAGAATTTTCGAAGTATGAATGCTTATACCTGACAAGTATCCTTTGAGAAGCTTTCTGATAATCATAGTGCAAGCTTTAAATAATCTTTTATTTTGTTTGAAGGTAATAAGATGTGACCCAGATAAGTAAATCTCAATTGCCAAAATATTGTTGACAAAGCTTTTCTGCTACCAGAGGCAGTCCCTTCTTTCTGTGATCCATTTCATAGCTCTCTTTATTTTATATTACCCTAGTAAATACCCAGTCTTAATTTCTTTTTTTCATACCTATTATTTCTTCTTAAGCTTAATGATGTATTGGTTTCTTCTTTTCACCTAGTTTCTAATCTCTCTGAAGAGATTATTAATACCAGTGCCTTTACTTGATATCTCCCACCACGTCTAAGGGGTGCCCCAGATAAGAACTTGGTACTTTGAATTGATTTAGCAAGATAATCTGAATTGAGTCACAAAAAGGGAAACAAAAGAAAGTGGAAACTGAACTTTATAAAGGGAGGTAGTATAGGTAATTGGTTCACAAACCTAAATTAAGTGGTGACCAGTCAAAAAAGCATCCTATCATTAGAAGTAATAATGGGCAGTAAATAATTAAAATTTTATTCAGATTCAAGTATGGATAATAGATTATATGGCAAAAATATTTTTCTTTAAATTCAGATTAATAAATGTTGAATCAGTTATTTTGATTTCAACTAGTTGAAGTATATGTATACTTAATTATATATGTTGGAAATCTTAGCTGACCTTATTAATGTGTCTATGTTATTTGTATTTGCATCATTTTTTTTCCTTCTTTGTTTTTATAAGTCATGGTAATTTTTCTCTTGGACATATTGGAGTTTAAAAGTATTTAGAACAAATTCATCCACAAGTATATTTAGAAATATTAAAAAGTAATATTAGGGCAGCCGGTTAGCTCAGGTAGTTAGAGTGTAGGCTCGTAACACCAAGGTTGCCAGTTCGATCCCCACATGGGCCGCTGAGATGCGCCCTCCACAACTAGATTGAAGACAACTACTTGACTTGGAGCTGATGGGTCCTGGAAAAACACACTGTTTCCCAATAAAAAAAAAGTAATATTAAAATACACACATACTGCTGCAACCTCTGAATTTTTGGCCAATTAAAAAAATAATAATATAATATATATATACATAAAGAGATAATCAATGCAACACCGTTGAGCAAAAAACAAATTTAAAACTACGTAAATGTCTAAGAATGGATTTTATGTTGAAAAAATGATGAGAAGCAATAGAGAAGTATTTAAAGATTTTGTAATTTGACCTCTGAAATAAGACAGTTTCAATCTTGGCCCTATTTAATGACTGTGGTACCTTGAAAATGTCCTTAACCTTCTAAATATCAGTTTCACCATCTCTAAATGGAGCTAATAGTACTAATCTTATTATATGAATCTTTAAATAAAATAATGTATGTAAAACATTTATCACGGTGCCTTATTCTGTGAATGTTAGAGTAAGAAAAATGATGATTTATTGTGTAGTCATTAATAAAGATACAGAAGTGAGTTATTTTACAGAAAAAACATGTAAAATAAACCATAGAATGAGGGAGAAGCGATTTACAAAATAATATGATATTAGCCAATTTTTGTAACAAAAAGAGAAAAGCAAAACATGGTATTTTATATGTTTTTATATGACTGTCTTTATATGATAGTATGATTAGTGACTTCCATATTCAGATACTTTTTGGTAAATAACTATTTGCATATTATTTCAGTAAGATAAATTATATATAGACCATTCAACTATTCATAGTATTCCACCCCTGTAGCTATAACTAAGCTGTGAAAATAGTTTATATTCAGTATACCAATCCAGTTCAGCTGTTGAAAAGTAAATCAAAACAAGTGGAATGATTGTATCCTGAAATTAAACACATCTCCCAATAGAGCTTTCTCATTGTTTGATGGTGGTGGTATGGTGGTACCATTGAATAATGTTCATTGAAAACTTCCTACATGCCCAAGGACTAATGAAAGCATTTTATTTATTTATTTATTTTTTAAAAATATTTTTATTGGGGAATTGGGGGAAGGGGAACAGACAAGTTGCTGTCGTTTTGTTTTTCAGTCTAGTTGTGGAGGACGTTGCGTCACGGCCCAAGTTGGCACCATCATTGTGTTCTTCCCGGGTGAGGCAGATCAGTTGCCGGCTACTGAATGGCCACTCACGGCGGCTGCTTGGCCGCTCACTCTGGCTGCTGGCTACACACGGTAGCTCATGGCAACCCACTGCAGCAGGGGCTGCAGCCTACGCCGTTGCCGGCGACTCATGGCAGCCCAGCTCCAAGTTGAGCTGTTGTTCACCATATTAGCTGTAGAGGGCAGTGTCACTGGCCCTCATATGTGGGATCCAAACCGGGGCCCTCTGGTGTCCCAAGCCAGCTCTTAACCAATGCACCACTCGGCCACCCCTAATGAAAGCATTTTAAATGAATTAATTTAATTTTCACAATATTTTGTAGGATTCATCTAACCCTGCAATGTAGGAATCATTATATTTCACTTTAACTGATGAAAAAAATTAAGGCCAGAGAGGTTGTATAACTTTCCTGAGGTCAAAGCAAATTAATGGCATATTGAGCATTCTCACTCAGCCTGGCTCTAGATTCTGCATTGTTAACCACCGAACCTGGATTGCCTTGAATTAGTAATGATGAATTTCATGTCATAAAATCTTAAATGTGTCCTAACTTTTTGTGTTTATCTTAGCTCAACGGACAGCCAGCTAAAGCTGTGGAATGTAGGGAAACCATACTGTCTGCGTTCCTTCAAGGGTCACATCAATGAAAAAAACTTCGTAGGTCTCGCTTCCAATGGAGATTACATAGCTTGTGGTAAGTGAAGCCATCTTTTCCTGGAACTTTTTAACAGGTATCTGCCACTACAATTGTATTCAATGGAAGTAGACTACATACCAAGTCAGGAAATGTTCTGTGCACGCAAAAGATAGCCTATTGAATTTTCCTTGGATTGTACTGCATCAGCCTTTCCTTTCTCTACCTAACACAAGCCCTGACCACATGGAATATCATAAGATTGTTAAATAGGTTTTGTTGTTTGTTGTTCTCCATTATAACGTAATTTCTATAGATATTATGTAAAAGGCAGAAAATACTCCTTTCTGCTAATATCCTAATTTTAGACACATTATTTGTCCTCTTGAGGTGATGTTCATTTTCTTCTATAAAGTTTTCTCTTCGTTAAGCAGTCTCTTTGGGTACTCTTGATCTATTCTAAGGCTTTTATTGTTAATAACATACAAATTTAAATTAGAAGTAGAAAAATCAAATTAAGTATTGTTTAAATGCTCAAATATATCTAATGCCTGAATATATGAACTTTCATCAGTACCTTCAAATGAGTTTGCCTTTATTCAGTAAAGTTTACTCTTTCCACACATATATGAACCTAAACCTTGCCAAAGCAAATCTCTTGCATAATTACCCAACTTAAAAGACTGCTTAAAAAATACAGGTTTCTAGACCACTCATCTAATAGGTTGATGCCTTTACTGGGAAGTGGGAAATTAGTTTTGTACATTATTAAAATTTGCCCTTGTAAGTGCAATAACTTTTGTTTTTCCTCTCCAGGTGAACTCTTTATAAATATAATTTAAGATTCAGGCTATAACAACAAATTTATAGTTCTTCTCTAGACCTTTGCTATAAATGATTTTATATGGTAATTCCAGCCTTAGAATTGCCAATATTATATCATTTTTTAACAGTGATTACTTTTTTAGTAAAGTATTGTTTTTTTTCTGTGAATTGTTTTCTGACATGCGTCCCAAGCAATCCTGTGCTCTGGTCTTTCAAATTTAACCATAAAAGATTGTCAGTCTTTGAGCTTAAACATTGAGAGATAATTACCTTATGAATGTGCTGTCCTAATTCTAAGTTATCCTATTGTAAAAAACAATTTTTTTTTCTTTTTTAAAATTTTTTTCAGGAAGCGAGAACAACTCTCTTTACCTGTACTATAAAGGACTTTCTAAGACTTTGCTAACTTTTAAGTTTGATACGGTCAAAAGTGTTCTGGACAAAGACCGAAAAGAAGATGATACAAATGAATTTGTTAGTGCTGTGTGCTGGAGGGCACTGCCAGATGGGGTAAGTTTTTATATCCGTTTTTTTCACCTTGGTGTCTTAGATAATGCTTTATGCTTGTATATATACAGGTGAGTTTTTTAAAATTTAAATTATGAATTGATATGTGATGTGCATTTTCTTTTTGGTTTAGTATTGCCTCACCAAAGAAGACAGGGATTTTAGGTAGTAATTGAAATATGAAACAGTGTCACACCTGAACCTGGTATTAGGAAGCAAAAGGTTTAATGTAGGTAAAGGGGAGTGTCCTATATATACAGCTAATACTGTCTCAGGGCAGAATTGCTCTCTACAAAATACATTTATACAAGAACATTTAAGCCCATTTAATGTCTTAATATGAAAGTTACACTTCCAGGTTGCAAAAAAAAAGTTTCCTCAAACTTATCACTTACTCATATAGTTTAAAGTATAAGCTTTCTAATAAGATATATGAAGAAATAATTTTTATCTTGATTTTCGTAAACATTAGTCATTCTTTTATGTCATCTTTTTAAAAAATAGCTTTGTAAGTGCTTGCTTGCTTGCTTGGTTTTGTTTTTGACACACAAAAAATTTTTACTTGATAGCTACTTGAAGATATCTGAGCTCCAGATACAGTTTAATTGATATATTCCAGTGCTATCTTGTTTAACGTTGTTACCCAACTTCCAATTTTGGTAATGGTAGACTAGGTGATTTGGACCAACCCTCCCTCTAAGAAGAACTAGAGAAGTTGGGCCAAGTATATGTGTTTTAAAAACAAAACCTGTTTGAAGGTATTGGAAAGTAAACAAGATAGAAAAGAATTACTAGCCTCGGAATGTGAGCCTGCCTTTTAAGTATACTTTTTGCCAAGAAGTATTTGCCAATTTTGGTGGAGTATCTGAAAGCACTTACGGTAGCTTCTAAGAGGCACAGGGATTGGAGTCTAGTGCTCATCGCTGTATTGGTGAATTCATTTGGTTTAGGTCTACAGAGGGCTGGAATCTAGGGTAAACCAGTAGAAAATAAGCCCTCACAGTGACTGCAGCTCAACTTCAGATCATATCAATCCTGAAATGAAAGTGAGGTGATCCTGGTTTTCTAGTGTCCATAGGATGCAAAATTAAATCCTCTCTGAAAGATCCTCTAAAGAAGATCATCTGAGGACTTCATTTATTTTTCTCAGAATTACAAATACAATAACTATGGCACAGTAAAAAATAAACAGAAAAGGCAAGGCAACATGATTAATCCAGCATAAGCAATGGACAGTAGAAACAAAATCATAGCATCTCTGTATATTGGAGTTATCAGATATAGCTTGAAAGTAAGTATCCATGCTGACCAGATCGAAAGACAATATTAAAAATTTCAACTGGGAACTAAAAACTATTTTAAAAGTGAAAATCCTAGAACTGAAAAAATATAGTTACCAAAATTAGGAACTCTGGATGAGTTGAAATGGAAGATATTACACAGTTGAAAAGAGAATTAGTCAACTTGTAGGTAACTTAGAAGAAATTATACAGAAGAAAGTATGGAGAGACAAAGTGATTGAAAAAAAAATAGAAAAGAGATAGAGGATGAAGTAGGAAAATTTAACATATTCAGTAGGAGACCTAAAAGAAGAGATAAGAAATAATGCTGCTGAGGAAAATATTAGAAAGGATTGCTGAGAACTTTACAAAATTGATGAAAGACATTCAAGCCAGATAAATGACTTGAAATCTACACTGTGAATAAAGATTTAATATCCAACCTGGACCCTCAGCAGATTTAGGCCTGCCTGAAAATCTGACTTTGGGTCTGCCTTCTCATAGCACTATTTTGTGGAAATACACTGAGTTTACACAAAATGGAATATTATGTAGTAGAAGCTAATTATCTTAAATTTAATATGAAACCTCCTCTATGATGTTATCTGGACTGAGAGAACTGTGAGTTGGCATATTAGCCTTACATCTATGCGAAGTGAATGGTATAAGACTGGCAGGAAACCAAGGCAGATCTGTGTCTGGAGTGAACCACATGCATCTTAACTGTCTTTGGCAACTGTGTTACTCTTTGTGTGGGTTGGGGAGAGAACCAAGAAGCTATGCATGTAAACAGTTGCTTGGCCTCCTGATGAATTTGAAGATGCCTGCTTGCTGAGTTTTTTACCCTGTCTCTCTGTAGAGCTCACTAACTTAGTGCTAGATTAAAGCTAATTGTGTCTGATCCTATTATCCCTCCTGGTGGAGGGACAGTCATACCTTGACACATAATAAAACTGCTGAAAATGAAATACAAAGGGGAATTCTTAAAAGAAGGCAGAGAAAAAGTACTTTCTTCAAAGGATTAGCAATTAGACTGACGGCCATCTTCTCAATGAAGCAATGGAAACCAGAAGATAGTGGAATGAGATTATCAGTATTTGAAGGAAATTACCTGCCAACCTAAAATTCTATATCCAGTGGAAATCTGTCAAGACAAAGGTACAATAAAGACATTTTTAGGTAAATAAATATGAATTTGCCACCAGGACACCTGCACTAAAGAAAACCATAAAGGATATTCTTAAGGCTGAAGGAAAAGATCAGAAGATGAAGATGAAGATGAAGATCAGAGATACAGAAAGGAATGGGAAGCAATAAAAATGGTAAATATGCAGTAAACCTAAATGCATATTGACTATATAAAGGAAGGATGCTTTTTTGGATTTAATAAGCACAAAGAATTAAGCACTTGACAATAATAACATAAGTCAGAAGGATAAATGTAATTAAAATGTTCTCAAGTCTTTGCCTAGTCAAGGAAGGAGGTAAAAGAACTAATTCATGTTAGGCTGAGAAGAATGCATATTGTACTTTATAGGATAACCTCTAAAGTAGGTTTTATAAAGTGTGCTACCAAGACATGCAACATTTCACGATAAAGAAATTAAAAGCTCTGCAACTCATTTCATTATTCCAGTTTTTTTTAATCTGATTCTTACATAACTGTCATTTTGATTAGCCACAAAAAATAACTTAATTTTCTTATTTTAGATGAGGCAAAAGGTGTGAGAGACTCTTTTGTTCATTTATTCAACAAATGTTGTGCACAGTCACAATTCTAGATACTGGAGATAAACTGTGAACAAAACTGTAAAAAATATTCTGGCCCTTGTAGGAGAGTTAAAATTTTATGTGCTGGAGGGGACAGAAAACAAAATAAGTTACTGTATTAGAAGGCGATGAGTCCTTTGGAGAAAAACAAAGCAAGGCAGTGGGAGAGGGAGTGCTAGAGTAAGGATTTGTAGTTCCCAGTTGGGGACAGAGTGCCCACCTGAGGAGCTGAATTAGAGCAAAGACGGGAGCTGAAGATGTAGTCCATGTGTAAATGTAGGAGACGAGTATCCCAGGTGAAGCAAACAGTTCAGAGGCCTTGAAGTAAGAAAGTGATTCACGTTCAAGGAACAGAAAGAAGGGCGGTGTTGCTGCACCACAGTGAGTCAGGTGGAGAGATGATTTGGAGTGGTGAGGAAGAGCCATCCAGTAGAGCCTTGTTTGCCATTGTAAGGACTTGGGCTTTTACTGGGAGTTAGTTGGGAGCCATTGTAAGATTTTGAGCAAAGTAGTAATACAATCTGACTTAAATTAAAAAAAAAAATAAGTTTGGTTGTTTTTATAGAGAACAGACTATAAGGTGTCAAGAGTGGAAACAGGAAGGCTGTTGTAATAATCCAGGTAAGATAAAATAGTGATATACCAGTGAAAAGTAGTCAGATCCTATTCATAGTTAGAAAGTGGAACCAACAGAATTGTCAATAGATTGCTTGTGGAGAGTGAAAGAGAAAAGTCTGACACCGAGGATTTTTGCTCAAGCAATTTAAAGAGTGGAATTGCCATTTATTAAGATGAAGAAGACTACCAAAGAAAGGGTTTTAGGAGAGAAAACCAGGAGTTGACTGGCTAAGTTTGAGAGTTACTAAAAATACTAAGCGGAGATGTCAAGTTTGGAATTCACAGGAGACTTTTGAACTGGTTAAGTTTGTGATACTACTTGCCATCTAAGTGGACACGCCACGCTACTTTTGGAATTCACAGCAGATCCTAGAGCCAGAGATAAGTGTGGTAGCTGTCTGTATATGATATAGCCAAGAAGCTGGATAAGATTTCTCCAAAGTAGTGCAATTAGAGATTAGAAGTAGTATGAGTATCTTACTTGAGGGCATTTCAGTTTTCAGTGATTGAGTCAACAAGGAGGAATCAACAAAAATACTGAGGAGTGGTTATCAATAGTAGGAAAACTGGTGCCTGGGAAACCAAGTGAACGATTTTCAAGAAGGAGGGATTGATCAGCTTTGTGCTGAAGACAAGCAAGAGGAGCAAAACAATGAGAGGAGTGGTAAGACAACGCTCGATTGGAGTGCTTTTAACAAAGGGAAGGGAGAAGTTGGAGACAGTGAGGTACAGAGAACTTTTGGGGGGAATAATAAAATACCATGTTTAATTTCACCTGCATTACTTTTATATGAAATCAATTGCTGTGTCTAGAAAGGCCAGATATTTCATTGTCTTTCTATACTTTATTTCTGTCCTACCTAACTTAAATTAAGAATGAGTGGTAGAGAGGCACAGATACAAATGGATATATTCCTACAGGATGGTATCTCAATATTATAAAAATTTAGAATATTTTTCTGCAGATTAAATTTTTGTCTTGCCTTGCTTTTTCCTATAACATATATATATATATATATATATTTGTTTGTTTGTTTCTTTCTTTCTTTCTGGCCACTTTGACTAAAAATGAACCAGTAATCTCAAGTCCTGTTTTGAACAATCAGCCAAGATCACATATATTTTCTGTTCTTTTTATTTCTACCATCCTGCATGTAAACTGGAAAGAATGTTATGCACTGCCCTCTTTTAAGATGTTGGCCAGTTGATCACATCTGTCCTGTATTTCGCAGCGCTGTGGGAGGTGACAGCGTGCTTCTCTCCCACCTTCACGTTTGCCATGTGCCTTGTCTACTTTTGCCTAAGTCTGCAATTTTTACTTTTAATTACTCCCTTTTAAAGACAGACAATATTTCTAATGTTTCTTTTAATCTGGAGACAGTACTTGATCCTTTGTGTCTCTTTTTTTTCTTTCCTAATATTTTCCCTGTGTCTAAAAGATCTTTTGTTCTGTCATTTTAGGGTGTGTCGACAGATTCTTCTGTCCTTTGTTCCTTAGCTTGATATTGCGAAGGTAGTGGCTCTAGCATTTCTACCACTAAAATGCCGCAACCTCTTGTACCATATTTAATTTTCAAAAGAGTTTTAAGATAAATTTTATTTGAACTCTAATGAAAATACTTTTTTTTTAAAGAAGAATTTTTATTGCAACTTAGATTTTCTCTAGAATATTTAAAAATGGTAATGGTTATTCTATACTAATGAAGAATGCAGAATTCTTCATTTTATCTTTTTTTTGGTTTATTTTAGTTTATTTGAAGACATTTTAATTGAAGATACATTAGTAGTTTAGAGTTATTGACATAATGGTGTTCTATTATTGCCAAATTCTTAGGATTTCCCCTCAAGACTAAAGCTTATTATTTGCATTGCCTATTTCATTATTAACTTTTATGATTTTTTAAAAACATGAATTTGTGAAAAATACGTACCTGGAATACCATATATCACTTTACCTTTATTTAGGCTTTGAAATATAATTTCCTCATTGGTTATTTTTTAAATATAAATGAAGAGAACTTGAGCATGTGTTTAACTTGCTGTAATTGAAGAAACTTATTATCTGTTTATTTGAAGAAGCAGTGATAAATTCTAAAACTGGACCTGAATGTATTATATCCATATAGGACTGCATGTCTAAATACATTCCATTTGAATGATTATACAGCCTTTGAAATAAATGTGGTTTTCTTATTTTCATATACAGCAGTCAACTGTATACTTTTGAATATAGAAAGTGGTGGGCTAGTAGGTTGCAATTTCGATTCATTTTCTGACTCTACTTCCTTGAAAAATTCCCCGTAATTTATCTGGCTTCTTGTGTCCAGGTGCAGTCAACATTTGCTATCTAATAGTTAGTGGAAATAGCCATTATCTGGATTTATAAAGTCCATAGGTAATCAACAGTTCATGTCATTTCTGGTTTCAACCTTTCTAAAATATTCAATTTACTTACAATTTCTAGCAAATATTAACATGGACTAACATAAGTTTGTTCCCCTTCCCTCCCTCCCTTCCTTCCCAAATCCTCAAATTGACAGAGCAGGTATACCTAAAAGTAGTAGTGAATGGTCTGGATAACTCATTAAGTAATAATCCTTCAACTAGTTTAGAGTTGATTCAGAGAAAATTTTTTGCGGCTTTATATATATTAAGAGAGTGTGGAGTCAGAGTGAATCTCTTTGGCAAGCACTTTGGTGGAGAAGGTCATCATTATCTTGGGACATCATTTCTTGGGTTTGTTTTGTTTTGTTTTTTAATGATTGTTATAGTAGCTCATTACCCAAAGAAATAACTTGATTAAATACATGTATATGTTAGAGCATTTGGAAAACAAAACAAAGAAGAAATATGTATTATCACTTTTTCCAGAAATAACCAATATTAACATTTTAATGTAATTAAACTTTATGTAATTTTGTCATTAATAGGTACTTTTTCTCAGCAAAATTGAATATTTTATGTATTACCATGTATTCTTTATCTTTTGCCTTTATCATGACCATTTTCCAGCTCTAAATATATTTTGAAAAGTATTTTCAATGGCTGCATAGTATTCTAGTGTAAGGGTTTACCACAACTGGTATACCATTGTTGAGAATATACATGTTTACTTTTTACTACCGTCTAACCTTTTACTACTATGAATAATGCTTCTTGAATATTTTGCAATACATCTAATTTTTAATTCTTAAGAAGAGAACCTTAGAGATTTATCTTTTTAAAGAAAATGAATAGCTTTAAGGCTTTTGATTAAAATTGGTAGACTGCCTTCCAGAAAAGTTTATTTCTATTTGCTCTTGTACCAAGAAAATCCGGAGGTTTCACTTTCACCATACCCATTAAACACAGAGTATAAATGTCAATATATGTGCCAATTTGAAAATATGTTGTTAGTAAAATAAAAGTGATCATATTTTATTAGTCGTTTCCATAAGCATTTTTTTAAATGTGCTGATTTTTTACCAATTATATACTTCCATACTGAGAATTCTCTTTTTTAAAAGAAATTCTTGTTTGAAAGGGAAATACAACTGAGATATTGTTTTATAGTCATAGTTTTTTTGGCAGTTTGGTATTAGTAATTCATATCTATCCCACTATCTCCACACCCTACATTCACCTTGAAAATAATGCCACAAAACAAAGGTAAATTTGGGACAATACTCTTTGTTCTTTATTTCTATCATGTCTTTTTTTATCATCATTTCTTTATTCAGAGACTGGAGTTAGGTAAGGGAGATTATACATGTTTTGTATCTGTGGATCCTTCTGTGGCCTGACTCTTATCTGAAACTATTGGAATGAAATGTGATAAATTGATTCAAGAATGCGAATGACTATTTCTGTTCTTAAGTGATTAGATTTGTATAAAGGGACCTTATAGTTTTGTTGGAGGCAGGACCTGAGTCCATGGTAACTCCCTCTAGGCTATAGATACCCTAGTCTTTGTTTTATCAGTTCTGAGCCACATCATACAGAGTTATCTAATCTTGGGTCACCAATTCTAAATGGATATCTAATGGTAAAAACCAATACTTGTAAAGCACCCTTAAGACTCCCTTAGCTCTTCAGAAGTGACCCCCCCCCCAAAAAAAAATGTATACTTTATCCTCAGGAAAAGCATTGCTTATTAAGTATTAAAGGCGGATATTTTCTCTTGTGGCTTGAAACACCAGGAATCATATTCAAAGTTTCTATAATGAGAGTGATAGATGTCAGAATAATGATTTCCCTAGTTTCCCTCCCTGAAACCAAGTCCAGCCAAACTTGACTTGGGTATCCATCAACTATGTTATCACCCATACTATACAAAGTTACAACCGTATTAGGCAAAAGCATCTTACTCTTTATGTCTTATTTCTAACAAATACAGTTTTATATAATGAAACACAGTGTTTTTAACTAAAACTGTGTTCTTAAGTAGATATTTTCTTTGCCTAAATCTCTCATGATTTCTACCCATTAAAAATATTTGCTGAATGAATTAATATACTGCCTTGTACTGTTATTTGTGTTGATGTCACATATCTCTTGCTAACCTGCAAACTCCTTGGAAAAAGACATCATAATCTACTGAGTAAGATCACAGACTATGGAGCCAGGCTGCCTAGTTTCAAAGCAGATTAACCGCTCACCTGCTCTGTTACCTTGCTCAAGTTGCTTAACTGCGCTGTGCTTCAGTTTCCTTATCTATAAAGCGCTGATGATAATAGCAACCTAACCTCTTAGGGTTTTTGTGAACTTAAAATAAGTTAATGTGCATAAAGGGTTTAGAATAGTTGTTGGCATATAGTAAGCAGTATAAGTGTTTGCTATTAGCATCATTCATTCTTAATTACTTCTAGCACCAAGCAAATTGTTTGCACATAATGTGAAACTAATATGTAATTTTTGTAATGAATGATATAGTCCTTCAGGCTTGGTCTTTATCATGTTTGTTGCATAATTAAATAGTAATTTTTGAAACCAAAGAAATGATGGAGTAGAGATGGTACATACTTCTAATATCTAAGACTCACTTAAAACTCATTGGTAATATCAGCACTACATCAACTTAAGAAAACAAGTTTTCCTGATTGAACATTCATGGGTATCTATATAATTTTTTTCATAATTACCCTTTTGCTCCTTGGGGTATAACCTCTAGGCTTTTGCCTGTTTTCAAACTCGATGAAGAATTCAAAGTATGTGCAGCTGTCAGAGAATTGGCATTTATTTTTGGCTTAATATTTTTGTTAGATGTATATAGCCTGTTTGTTCTTCCCTTTCCCCATTGCATTAACACTATTTCACAATTCTGTCTTCTCTCAAGGACACCTAACACATCTGTTTTTCCAATTTATATGTTTTTATCTAAGAGATAAGCATCCCTCTCTGACTCAGTAAATGCTGTGTATAAAGCATCAGATTGCACTAAATACTAGGGAAGTTAAAGCACATGTGAAAAACCAGTCTACTTCCATTAAAGTGCAGAAGACATCTATAATAAAATGTATTTATACCAACGATTTTCAAACCTAAGTGATCATCAGAGTCACTTGGGATCTTTCCAAAACAATAAATAAATAACGAAACAGTTCTACTCTTAGACCGTGAGTCCATATTTTAGGGGAGGAAGGGAGGAGGATAGAGATTTATGTTTTGAAAAGTTCCCCAGGTCTC